TATGGTCTATTTTAGAGAACATGCCATGTGCAGCTGAGAAGAATGTGTATTCTGATGCTATTGGGTGGAACACTCTGTAAAGATCTACTAAGTCCATAAGTTCACAAATTTGGTTCTGTTATTTCTTTCCCAATTTTTTGTCTAGTTGATCTATCTCTTTGTGACAATGGTGTGTTAAAGTCCCCATTATGTTATGCTTGTGTTATGATCGTTTACAACTTAATTTCCTTTTTCATGTCTGTTAAAATTTGTCTTATATAGGTGGGTGCTCCTATATTTGGTGCATAGATGTTTACAATTGTTATCTCTTCCTCTTAAAGCTTCCCCCTCTCAAGTATGTAGTGACCTTCTTTATGTCATTTGATTGTTCTTGGTTTGAAGTTCATGTTGTCTTCAAACAGAATAGCTACACCCACTTTTTTTCTGGGTTCCTGTCGCATAGAGTATTGTTTTCCATTCTTTAATTTTCAGTCTATGAATTTCCTTTTGAGTTAAATGTGTTTCTTATATATAGCATATAGTTGGATTTTCCTGATCTACTCTGCTAGTCTGCTTCTTTTGGTTGGTGCATTGAGACCATTTACATTCATGGTTATAACTGATATGTATTGGCTTATCTTTGTCATGGTATTTTCCTGCTGTTGGATCCTCCTTTTTCCCTCTGTTTAATTGCTTGCTCTGCTTCTTGATTCCTTTCTGTTGTTGTTCTTGAAGTTGCAGTCTGTTTATCTCTTTCTAGAATATTTTTTAGTACTCTTTATAGGGTTGGTTTGGTGCTCATGAATTTCCTCAATTCCTTTATCATGAAAATATTTTATTTCTCCATTAAATTTGAAAGATAGTTTTGCAGGGTACATCAGTTTGGGTTGGAAGTTGTTTTCTTTCAGTGCCTGAAATATTTCACTCCACACTTTTCTTGCCTTGATGGTTTGTGTTGAGAAGTCTGCCATGATTCTGCTAGGCTTTCCTTTATAGGTGATCTGTTTTTTTTCTCTAACAGCTTTTAATATTTTGAGCTTTTGTTGAGTTTCTGGGATCTTGATCACTATATGTCTGGGTGTAGATTTGTTTTGGTTATGATTAACTTGGTTATTACTTTGGTTATGCTTCACTTATCTGGATGTCAGATTCTTTTTCCATCCCTGGGAAATTTTCTGTTATTATTTTTGCAAATAGTCTTTTTATGTCATTTGTGTTGATACCTGCTGTTTCATTAATACCTATTAATTTGACACTGTTTTTCTTTGCTTCGTCTTGCAGTTGTTGAATTGTTATTTCCTGGTTCCTTGTTTTTAAGAGATCCCTCATTTCACGTTCATTGGTGGCAATGCTGTCTTCAAGGTCTGAAAGTCTATCTTCAGCTTCGTTCAGTGGTTTTGCAAGCTTTCAGTGGAATTTTTAAGTTCCTGGATATCTGTTTGCATCTGTTTCATACCTTTTACTTCTTTTGTATATTGTTCCCTGAAGGTTTCCATGAGTTGTCTATGCTTTTCTATTTTCTTGTCAATGTCGTCTTTGGATATGCTGAACATTTCTTTCATTATTGCTGTCATTTCTTTTTTCACCTGAGACATTATTTCTGATCTGATGTCTTCTATGGCCTGATGGAGTTGTTTCTTCACTTTAGCTGCTGTCACATGAGAAACTTCCGGTGTATGACTTGCGGGCTCTTCCGTGTTGATGTCTCCTGGACTTGTTTTCGTTGGTGTGGAGGTCTGGGATTACCTTTTGCTCCTTTGTTTTGTCATTGTTGAAGATCCAGAAGCTCCCTGGAGTGCAGCCTCACTCCTGATTGTGTGTGAGTGGCAGGGCCAGAGTGTGCAGATCTGCAGTGCTCAGTGCAGCTCCTGTGCTGGTGAGTGGTGGCAAGGTGGGGTCCCAGGTGTTTCTGAACTTTCTCGCCGCATTCAGTTGGCTCCCAGGTGTGTGTGGTAAGGGTGGGGGAGGCACGCCGGAGTTCCTGAGACCATCTGGAGTTCGGCCCAGCTTCCGCAAGAGTACAGGGGATGCAGGTTGTGTTCAGCGAAGCTTCAGATATTGCCCAGGACAGAGCCTGCTTCCCACCCTGGAAGGGGAGGGGTAAGGGTGGACTCCCTGAGGCTACTGACTCTGTCTAGGTTTCAGCTGAGCTCCCAGGGGAGGTGTGAGTTGTTCTGGCAGTGACCACCAAGGCCCCAGAAGTTGTCCAGAGCTCCATGTGCCTCACACACTAGTCGAGGAGGCACCAGAGTGGCTCACCCAAGTTCCTAACGGTGTCTGGCATTCATCCCAGCCCCAGCAGATACACTATGGGTATGGCAAGTAGCCACCAAGGCCCCTGAAGGTGCCCAGGGTTCTGCCTGCCTTGCACACTGGTCAGTAAGGCGCAGCAGCAAATCACCGGGCTTCCTGAAGATGTCCAGAATTCAGCCCAGCCCCTCCCATTTAGTCTTAAAGGATTCTGATTTTAAGATAGGTTGCTTTTTTGTTATTGAGGAAAAAAAAAATTGTATGTGTTTCCAGGTAAACTGCAAAGTGCAAATGTGTGTGTTCACTATTTGATTTTTAGTGGCAATATTTAACTCTAAACATGGATTCCACTTGCATCTCAATTAAAGATAATGTGATCAAAAGTCTAGGTGTTCACTTTCAATCTGACAGATTCTTTTGACAACTCAAAATTCTGCCTGCAAGAGTGAGGTCACACTGTGTGTTCCCTACTCAAAGTTCTGCCTGCAAGAGTGAGTATGTTTCCTATTAACCTCGATCATCTCAGACGAGGTTCCTTTCATCACTCTGTCAAGGTATTGGATACATGGCTGAGAGTCTTGTTCTACTATTCCTCAGCCTTCAGCTATGGAAAAAAATTTTCTTTGCATGTCCTCTTGGTTTTCTATGCCATGTCTTCACAAATGTAAAATTAAAAGCTACTCCTCTCAATGATAGCATAGGATTTGGTGTCACAGATACAATGTCTACTCATTAATCAATTTGCATGGCTGTCTTTTATTTGCCTTATTTTCTAACCTACACTACTGATGGGCAGCCTGCAGTCTGCCCAGTGCTTCTTGGATATGTGATGGTCTCTTGCTTGCATCTTGTTGCTCTGTTTACTGTGCCCAGTCTATAAAGTACCTCTCATTTTTTCCATGTTAGAATGTGGGCAAACTTGTAAAAATTAATTTTCTTTCCACATAGTAATTTTGTGTTTAAAATTTTTTCAGTATTTTATTCTCAAAAATGTTTCTGGTGAGTTTTAACAATACTAACAATATCAATGTGCTGGGAACCGTCAGAAAATTTTAGAACTGGGCATTGGGCAGTGGTTAGCAGGACTAGGTGAAACACTGTTAGCTCATCCTTGCCTTGCCTATGAGGGACAATTGTCATATTTAGTTTTCTAGTTTTTCTGAGTTTACCACGTGTATTTTTATAGTTTTGTCCCTGTGAAATGCTCAGTGTGTGAGTATATAGAAATTGTAGAGAAAAGTATTATACTCAGGTTTTTTTCTTACTCTATTTCCCATGTGCTCATGTCTCAGTTAGGGAGAGTCAAAGTCCTCATCCATTATGGTGATCAAATGATTCAAGTTTTTTGAAATATACTTGTTATAGATATGGAATGAATCACATTTGTCTCCTGAAACAACAATACATTTTCTGGACATAGGATTAAGGCTGCTGGTCCATAGATTTCATGGTATTCCAAAGCAGAGGATATGTTATAGAGTGTATCATATGATACTTTACCCTTTCCTAAGTCTACATACTCATTATGTCCTTCCACAATTTCATTTCTTTTGGCTATTTCCTCACCCCAGAATGGATCTTCTTTGTATTTGGTGTTTTCTCTTGAGTTATTTTTCATTTCTTACATGTTCATTTTTCTTAGGTGTCTTTTGATTTTTCCCAATGTAGTATTCATTGAATTTATACCTTTCTTCTCTGCTTAAATTTAGACAGCATTTTTCATTTCTTATGTGTTCATTTTTCTTATGTGTTTTTTGATTTTTCCCAATGTAGTATTCATTGAATTTATACCTTTCTTCTCTGCTTATATTTAGACAGTATTTTGAAAGCTAAACCTGGTTTAATAGACAAAAATATAACCAAATGCTAAGTAAAGTTCATCAATATTAATTTGGAATGCTAATGTATACAGTACAAATACTTTGTTTATTCCTTCTCTCTATTGCTGTCATGATTTACATAGGTATCAAAATATCCCTCTAATTCTGATGGCTTCATGATTTTCTTCTGGGGAAGCAATTTTTTTTATATCCAAAAGATATTTGACTGAATTCTCAAAGTATTCAAATATATTTTTCCCACTTTAAGATTCAACTAAATTACTGTACATGTACTATGAAGAATAAAGAACATGTTTAACTGTATGTACCTGTTTGTCCCTGCCTCCTGTATTACACAGATGGTAATTTCTGCCAGTTTATACAATAAGAGCTCTATCATAAATCAAGAGTCTGTTCTCATATGAGCCCTTCAAACACTGTCTTCAATTTTTGTGATCAACTTGTTATTCTCACTAATAGAACAATGCCTTAAATAGTGGACTTTGGGTCTCCTTCCTGTATGTTACTAGAGCTGTCACCTTAGTGTTTACTAGCTAGTGAACATTGTTAAATATTTGTTACACTGAAGTTATATTTTTCTTTGACATATCAAAGGTGTGATTTGGAAGTGTCAAATTGTTTTCTTCAATTTTTCCTTTCATTATTACTGGATGTATAGTTTGCAAAGTCTTTTTGTTAAGTATATATGATTTGTATTTTAATCATACCCATCCCCCATTTGTCTCCCATATGCCACATTTTGTTTCATTGAGCTATAAGACAGTATATTTTCCTTAATCTAATTGTGTTGTTCTTAGATGTTCTCCACTAAAAGCTGTAATCTTTTTTATTAGCATTCCAAATTAGCATTGATGGACTTTACTTAGCATTCAGTTATGTTTTTGTCTATTAAACCAGGCTCAGCCTTCAAAATACTGTCTAAATATAAGCAGAGAAGAAATAAATTCAATGAGTAACACATTGGGAAAATGGAATATTGAATGACCTGTGAGACCTGTTTATCAGATACTTTTCTTAGTTTCTTAACTCAGATGCCGATCTTATAGGATCCCTGTATAAACCAGGCTTTTGAAGCAATGTTGAAGTAAAACTGAGGGTACCAGCAGGAGAACCAGAGTTCCCATTCTACTGTTCCTTTAGCAATAAATTGTAGTCTAACATCAAAATTTCTGTAGGATATATGTATATGAATGGAGAACAAATATTTGATGATCAAAACATGAAATAAACATTTGGAGGACTGAGGCTTATTTCAGCATTTATGAGTAGATGTGAGATGTTTCATGTTGTCTCACTCTTCCTGGATATATATGTCTGATTTAGGAGGCAGTGTCATTTGAGGATGTGGCTGTAAACTTCACCATGGAGGAGTGGGCTTTGCTGGATTCATCCCAAAAGAAGCTCTACAGAGATGTGATGTGGGAAACCTTTAGAAATGTGTCTGATATAGGTAAGAACAATATCCTTTTTTCATTTCTGCATCAGAGAATTTCTTATTGCTTGTCAATTCAGTTTATTTCATTGGAATATGGAAACACTTGATGACTCATCCAGGCATGGTCACATTATACTAGGATTCTAACTGGAATCTCTGCATTTTTATGTAATGTAGTAACTCATATTATACTTCACTTTGTACTCTCTAGGAAGAACCTGGGGTGGTAAGAAAATTGAAGATGAGTACAAAAATTGCAGGAGATATCTAAGGTAATTTGCACTCACAAGATCAATGTTTCTCAAGAGTAAAAAATATTAAAACCAAGAAAACTATTCAAATGTGGCCATGGTCCAATTTTTTTAATCTCACAGTATCTTTCCCTAGATGCATTCATGTGGAGTACCTACAATTTGATGATTGAATATTTGAAATATTACAATGTCTGAAATACAAGGAATACTGATGTTATGCCACAAGTGACATTATCTACTCTAAAAAAATAAACAAATTATTTTCTATCAAGATTATAAAAATTTCATATCAAATTACATTTAGGCATGGACTGTAGAGTATATAAAACAAATTCTGTGAGCTTAGGGTGTAGTAGCTTAGTGGTAGAGTGCTTGTATAGCATGCACAAGGCCCTAAGTTCAATCCCTATTACCACAAAAGAAAAGCCCTCAAAACAGATTTTGTACTTAGACTGAGAATCAAATTCAGGATATCAAATTATATATACCTATATAATAATTATATATATCAAATTATATATATACCTATATAATATATATTATATATAATTCATATACCTATATAATATACATTATGTAATATATTATGTATATCAAATATATATTATGTATATCATATATTATGTATATCATAATATATATTATGTATATCAAATTATATATACCTATATAATATATATATATATATTTACAGAAGAACACATTCATGTGAAACATTATGCAAGGAATGGTGTATTTATTTCTATGTGGTATATACATTCAATATTTGGAAAATTGCTATTCTTGTAAACATATTCAAGATCCAAATGAATACTACTTTTTTGATAATAATTATTTTCAAGCAGTCCTCCAAAGCATTCAGTACATTCATGTTCCAAAATAATAGAAGGCACATTTGCGTAATATTTGTTGGAATGGTATTGCGGTATAACATGTATGGAAATGTGTGTATAGATTCCTCAAAAAAGTAAAAGTAAATCTTTCATTACATCCAGCTGTACTTTTCCTGAGTATATTCCTCCTAGATTTAAAGTAATCATATTACAGAAATACATGCATACCCTTGTTTGTAGCAGTACATCTTACAAAAGTTAAATTCAGGAAATAGCCTAAATGCCCATTCATAAATGAGCTGATTAAGGAAATATGGGATAGCCTGGGAATGGTGATGCATGTATGGAACCGTAGCACATTAAGGTGTGAGGTAGAAAATTCATGCATTCATGCCCAGCATAGGAAATTCAATGACTGATGAGTCTTTGTCTCAATATGAAAAATCAGTAACTCTGGGGATGTAACTCAGGACTAAAACCCTGGGTTAAATCCCCAGCAATGAGAAAATTTGGTGTGTATATATAACAGTGAAATGATGTAAATTCCCAAAAAATAGATGGATCTGGAGTCAATAATGTTGTTATTTAATTCAGACAGCAATTTCAATATTATGTGTTATACTTAGTATGAGAAACCCAAATTATGAAATTAAAGAGTAAAATAAAGGACAGGTCATAGAAAAGACCTTTCAGAGTGTGTGAAGAGGCTCAGTGAAAGGGAGAAGGGATAGAGTAAGAAAAAATGGTATGAAAAACAATCAATATATGGTATACATATGTACCAATTCCTAAAAATAAATGTGTTATGTAGCGTAAATATGTCAGTTATAAACTGCCAAATGCATACTGCTGTTTGGTAAAAACTGTTTCTAAGCATCATCTAGAGTGCACAGTAAACTCATGATCAAATATTCTTAGAGAGCATCAAAACAGATCTCTTCTCATAAACCATTAATTAAAAGATACTTAAATATGATTGGTTGTTTTCTTATTTTATTCATATACAGCAGTGAAGAGGTAGAGAAATGTGGTGATTACGAATTATACTATCAACATGAAGAAATGATTTTCCAGACTACAGATACTAATATGAACCTAAAACCAGTTGGTACAATACCAGATGAAAGCATTGGCTGTAGAAATACCCTGATTGGTCTTTCACCACTAAATGTGCCTATTTTACCTACCATTGTACTCAAATCATACGAATATCAGGGATTTGAAGACAAGCTGTTTAGCTATAGCAAATATGGGAAAACCTACCCTGATTTCCAGTCCTCTCAGAAGCATGAAAAAACAGATGCTGGAGAGAAACTTTATGAACATAAGCAATCAGAAAAATTATACTCCTACTGCTCTGAAGGAACTGTGGGTGAAGAGACACCCTTTCTACATGAGCAAGATGTGAAAACCCTCAGTACACCCAACTATGTTCAAATCTGGGAAGGAAATCACAGTGGAGTGAATATTTATATATGTACACAATGTGGAAAAAGTTTTAATTCACACCATTTCATTCAAATACATGAAACTGCTCATGTCAAAACACCCTATGTTTGTAAACATGATGGGAAATCCTTCACTAATAGCACTTCATCTGATAGTCATCAAAGAACTCACACTGGAGAGAAACCTTACTTGTGTAAGCACTGTGGAAAAGCTTTCAGCACACACAGTGATTGTCAGAGACATGAACGAACTCACACTGGGGAGAAAC